TCTCAGCTTTAGTTTGACTAGCTTTAATTTACTCACCGAAGGACTCAAAAACAACACATTTCGGTACGCTGTATACTGTGTATATTGTTGACCTTGAATCTTGCTCTGCTGCTGTACTGCTCTGGAGTTGAATTTTCACAGAAGCATCTTTTCCACTTGTTACTGAACCGCTTCATATTCTGTGAGCAATATCTGGTGTTGTCCTTTTTCTGCTTAGTTAGTGCTGTTGTGTGTTTTTGGAAAACTACCACTCAGAATTTTATTAATCGTGAAGTGGTGCAGCACGTGGACAGGAAGGGCCCATCAAATTTGGATGCATCTGGATTACTTTCTCTAAAACTGCTGAGTATGCATCGGCCTTGGCAGTGTCTGCACTTTGAGTTTCCTTCTAGTTACGCCTGCATTTGCTGTCATATTGCCACTGATTGACAATAAATATGATAGATGTGCTATTACTCGAGACCTTAAATGCATTTTGTAAAAGACCCTTAAAGGAGCCATGCACCCAAATGGCCAAAAAGTGATCTGCTTTGCTTTCTGTGTTGCCTGGATGCACTAAAATTCCCACTTTAAAAAACTGTGATAAAGACACAGTGACGTGTTGCACAGACTGTTCTGCCATATCTCTGTCTCCTCATATATACACAGATCTAGAGCAGGGCGATATGACCAAAAATATTTATCACGATATACATTTGAAAATTTGCGATAACGATATAACTGACGATATAATTGACACGAGACAAAATACTTTACAACTCCACAACTTTATTAGTGCAAAAAACCCATCAATGTATTTTCACTTAAACAAGCAGCTGTTTTTTGCATTAAAGTTATATAAAATGTAACAGTGCAAATGCAAATTCCTCGCTGACAGTTTAACCAAAAGGCATTTCCAGTGGAAACTGGCCGACATATCCTCAGCATAACCATGTATAATATCCACAACACTTAAAAAGAGGTTATACACACACAATACGGTAACATTATGTTGAAGCACAGTACGTATCACTCCGCGAGGCTCCGCCTACGATAGCCGTAATGCTCCGACAATCCATCAAGCGGTGCGGCTTCGTAGCTTAGCAAAGTCGTACTGAAACATTTGACAGATTTTCGAGCGCCGTGCACATAAAATCGTTTCGAGGTCAGTAAACACAACCAGAGTTCATACATAAGGCACACGGGATTATAAGGGGCTCTGTCGACTTTCAGAAAAATCAAAGGATTGATTTTAAGTGCGCCGTATTTTCCAAACAACACGGTAATAACGACGGCCCGCTAGCATGCGCTACCAAAAATAGTGCTTTGTTGTGTATCTGACGGACGAAAGCTAAACCAGTTCCACACCAGTGAAGCTGCAGCATTTTTACAAACCAGTTCAGGTTCATCGTTTCATTCAACGATCCGCTTTCGCTCTTCTCATTCTCCAAAAATGCCATGTGCGTACAAAAACAAAGGCGCTGCGCATTTTACCCATATTCTATCGCCATATTTCATTTTCTTATCGTTGCCCAACATTACACCGGTATTACCAGATCTAGGAATTATTGCAAAATATTCTTCACAGGCGTCTGTTGGTCATGTTGTTTTGTTCTTACTGTGCAGAAATGCAGTTTACTCTCTGTCCCATTTGGGTGCACTTGTGTCTGGCCTCTGTCAGCTGTCAGCAGCAGTGATCCTGCCTGAGCTCTGTGCCATCCCAGCAGGTTTACAGACCTCTGCAGACTTGCTGCTTCACTCGGTGGCCTAACTGTGATTTCTGGACTCGATGTTGTTTGGGTCGAGCACGTTCTCGTTTGTTAATCGCTTCAGGTTAATGTTGTGGAATTCTGTGACACCAACGTGTTGAGTGTGATTTACACCCAATTTAAAACTTGATAATGTGCTGATTTAGTATTTGGACTCCACAAACTATATCACTTTCCACACTACCTACATAAACTGGCTGGCTTAGCTCCTGTATTCACATCTGTGTCGTGTTTTGCTGTTTGGCCTTCCCAGAAAGCTGGAGCATAATCGACTGTAGGTTCAGCATTGCTTAATAGCTTAATAACAAGCAGTTATTTCTCCCGATTCTCCTGAATCTGTCAAATAATTGCTTATTATTGTAGCGCACTATCACGCGCACTTCTTCTTCCCATACACCTCCATCACACCCTTCCTCCTCCCATCCTCTCAGAATCACAGAATCAGTGCTGGCTTTGTTTTTCTAATAATCACTTAGGCCTAAATCACAAAGGTGGAAGGTCACTACAACTTCCCCTGTGGGGTTGATTTAAGTGGCCCTTAGCCCGGCTACAGTAGCTAATCACAGGGATTTATAGAGTGCATCGCGGAGAGGCCGGACAAACCTAGGGAAATTTGGTGGCACCCTGCTGCAGGTGTTACAAGCCTCTTTTCTTCCTGCCGTCTTTCCTCCCCCTCCCCTTCTATTCCAGCTGCTGATGGTAGGCAGCTGCTTGTTCTTCACTTACTGGGGCTCTGTTGGTGGAACATGATGCTGGCAGCACCCTCCTCCTCATCCTGTTGCTGGTCATTCCCGTGTCCGGAAAGTCCTCCACATAAAGCTTTCATAATTACATTGATCTTGAGGGGGTCTTTTACGACCTGCTGACGCATTCAATCACATTTCGGCATGGCCCTTGTTAAGGGCGGCTTTTCCCCTTCTTTTTAAAGCATATTCCAAGTTCACGTCCAACCGTTTGTACTTCTTATGTTTCTGATAATTGGGATTTTTCACATGGGCCTGAAGGAGAAGGATAAAAATTAGAGGATGAGCCCTGTGGATGGACGGGGAGCAGGGTCGTTGCTTAGCTGAGAGGAAGGCTGTCAAAAAAACAAAACTGCAGAGGCGTGTAATACAAGATCCAGATGTTGAAACCCTCCAGCAAACAGCCCGCCCCACCGTGTTCATGTCTCCTGTACATAATCGTAAGTCTCGATTACATTGCACTGACAGCATCTCAGCACTCTTTGGTATCACTTGTTTTCTCAACATCATCTGTGGAGCTGCTCTGTTTTGCTTCCAGGCTTAACTACAGGAAGTGTTTTTAGGCTCCAATGCCCCCCCCCCCCAACCCCCCCCCCCCCCCCCCCGCCCCATTGAATTTCCCCCCGATCACGTCGTCGGTCTGGTTTGAGTGAGCACAACAGCGGGTCAGAGCTAATGAGCTCGCTGGGATCTAAGAGCAATGCCATCTATAGGCATTCACCCCCAGCCTGTGCCAAATGCCGAGCACTGAGAAGCCTTGATACGGGGGGGGGGGGCTGTAACAGAAGAAGATCTTAAAAGGGGCTTTTTGGGAGAATTGAAATCACATTGTTGTTGTTGGCCTCAAGAAATGCCAAATAAATCCAGATAAAATTTGGATGAACCGCTCCCAAGAAGTCAAGGTGAGCAAATTCTTTCTCCGCTTCCCTTCTCCTGCCTTCACTTTTACCCTTCCCCCATTTCTTCCCCCAGTCCCCGTTTTCCGAGAGTAACCTTTGCCATGACAGGTCAGAGCTGTGTTTCCAACAGGATGACCTTCGGTAATGAGAGGGCAAGTTAGAGACTGACCTGGAAGCGCATTGTTCATCCATCCTGGGAACACAAACAGTAATAGTGCGAAGGCACACAGGAACAGCTGCACGGCTGCAATGTCGCATTCTCCGGCCTGTTCTTTCACCCATCCATCATTTCACTGCAGAAACATATAAACAAGAAGCACATCTCCTTTACTCATGTGACATCAGAGGGCTGTTTCTGTCTGCCTGACTGTTGAGAGCATGCTGCTGCCCGCGGGTATATCAGCACTTTCAGGCACAACACTGTTGGCTTCATTATCCTCATAGAAAAAGTGTTCTGACCAACCAAAGCCATTTCAGCCGGCACCAATATGATAACAATAAACCATAAGATAAGCTGGGTGTCGTGGGGCCAATAAGAAGTATGTCAGGACAGTTATTTGGTGAGTTGCTGGGGCTTTCAAGTCAGTGACTATGTCCCAGTTAACCCAGTAAGGACTGCACCTATAAATCAGAAATGCTAAAATATACTCGTTCTTCCTGTTTTCATGAGCCAGCTCTGTTTTTATGGGTTTTTCCCTGTAAACATGAAGATGCTACAGGCCAGTCTAACATGAAGCTCGAACCGTTCTTACACACAGCGAGCAGCTGCGGGACGGGGCTGATACACAGATGGTGAACTCAGATGTTTTCCTGGCGTTCACGGCATCAGCGCTTGTTACTGTAATCATGATGCAAAACTGATGTAAAGCCAACAAGGGTCCTTTTATTGGAGCACCTGTTCGACAAGTTTAAGCATGAAGGAAAGTCTTCAGCTGCACTCGTCCTTGGTGGTTTGTGTCACGTGATGGAGATAAAGTAAAAGCTGTGTTTATGCAGAAACCGTTAGTGTAGTTTGATACGGGCTTTTAACCCCGACAGCTGACAGCAGCTCTACTTTCTGTGGCGGAGACATATCGACTCATTACTGCTAATTCTAAAAGGCACAGAGAGCTTAAACATCGGAGAAGACGTTCATTGTAATGACTCAGAGAAGTGGACGAGGTCTCGCAGACTCCCTCAGTACAGCATCCAGCTATAAGAATTTACCCCTCTCATCTGTGATGGAGCGTAAACCATCCATAGAGGCAAAGCTATTTTTTTGTATCGCGTAAGTTTTCCATCTTAACACAGGAGTCTGTGGGCATTGATACACCAATCAGTCATAACATTATGGCCACCTGTGGTCTCCTCACGTCGAGGCATGGACTCATATTCACGAAGAAAACTGATGTTAAAAATATGGAAACATGGCAGGAAATATCAAAAATATGTTCATGTATTATTAAAATATCACAAATTAACATTTGAAAAACAAATAGATTGCAGCTGAAAAGTGTGGTGCATTATCTTTTCTTGCTGCGTCACGACTGACTTTTTAGCTAACGTAAGCTAAAGTGGCAGTTTCTATTTTTGTTTTTGACGCTGTCGCCGGTACGAGATTCCGGAATGGCACCTCAACATCCAGCTGTGAAAGCTGCATCAACCTGAGCCAAAAAGTGATCGAGCTGGAACAAAGGATATCCACGCTATACCAAATCCAGGGGGCTGAATGCGAACTTGACACGATCCTCCTTGGCAAAGCTCAAACCACCGCTACTAGCGCTGAGCTAGCCGACACAGTGCACCATCCAGCTGCTGTGTCCCAAGATCCCGCCAACAGTCAACACAGGCTCTCAACTTGCGTCGCTGGTGCTTCTGCCAAGGACGAGAACTCCTGGTTTCAGCTAGGGGCCAGACCCAAGGCTCTGGTCAGCTCCACTCCACTCCAACCAGCGCCATGGACCGTGGTTGAGACGCGTGGTGGCTGCAGAGGGGGCAGGAGGATCCGTCTCTCGCACCCTCACCCCTCCGGCGCGGTAGTACTGGAGAATAAATTCAATGTCCTGGATCCTGTGGACTTTCCTCCTCTGACCGCTAGCCCTCGCCATCCCGCTGTGTCGCTGAGGTCTGCGCCATCTCCACCACTACGCCCCCGGAGCCGCGGCGGGCAACCCGACGCTGTGGTGCAAACTCACCGCGGAGAGCTGTGCTTTACCCCGGCTCCTCGGAGAAGAGGACCCACGGCGCGGCTACCTGGGAGTCACTCACGCAGTCCGGCTGGCGCATCTCCATCTGAACACCCCCGGTGTCGCGGCGCGGGCGTCTCAGATGGCCAACAGCCCTCGGTGGCACCTCCTCTCTCCACGCTGGTCCTCGGGGATTCCATCGTCAGGAACGTGCGGATGAGGGGGGCGCTCACGCTGTCGTTCCCGGGAGCCACTGTTGTTGACATAGTGGACAGAATTCCCAACATTCTGGCGTCCCACCCACAGGTTAACCGGCTCATCATCCACATCGGCACCAATGACATCCCCAAACAGCAATCTGAGCTGCTGAAGTTGGACTTCCTCCAACTCTTCAGCCTCCTTGGTCAGTTGCAGGTGAGTGCTTTTATCTCCGGGCCCACCCCCACCTGTGGCAGAGGGATAGGCCGTTTCAGCCGGCTGCTCAGCCTTAACACCTGGCTTTCCTCTGCCTGTATCTCCCACGGCGTGGGTTTTATTAACAACTTTGATGCCTTCTGGGAGAGGAGGCATCTTTTTGGGGCAGACGGGCTCCACCTCAACGCCTGGGGACGCCGTTTGCTGTCCGCCAATTTGGCATTTGGCGTACAGCACTCCCGCACATCGCCCTGTCACTACCCCAAACTGACATTACCTGCTGATCCGTCTGCCACTGACTGATGTTCCCCTGGTCCCAGCTCCTATATTTGTTCCACTTTTAACAGTAATACACAAAACTCTGGACTAGGACCTTTCTCTCCCACAGTCAACACAATACCCGTCATAATCACAAACAGAGAGCAACAGAATCATCATAAATCCAGTAACTCCAAAAACATTAATAACCTCCGGCCTCTTCAAAAATATCAACATCCATTCAACTCTATTGTCAAAAATCCACCAGTCTCAATCAGTATGGCACTTTTAAATGTCCGCTCTCTGTCGAACAAGTCTTTTATTATTAATGATTTAATTTTAGATAATAAACTTGACTGTTTATTTTTAACTGAAACATGGCTGGGCTCGGATGCACCAGTTGTTCTCACTGAGGCCTCCCCACCAAATTTTAATTTCTCTTTTTCTATTAGAAGTGGTAAGAGAGGTGGTGGGACTCAAGGGTCGGTTCTAGGCCCTGTACTTTTTAATTTGTATATGTTGCCTCTCGGCAGTGTCATCAGGAGGCATGGAGTGAACTTCCACAGTTACGCTGATGACACGCAGCTGTACATCTCCGTGTCTCCTGATGACACCAGACCAATGGATGCCCTTTTTAACTGTATCTTGGATATAAGATCTTGGATGGCAGAAAACTTTTTACAGCTTAACCAGGACAAAACTGAAGTTTTAATTGTCGGTCCTGAGGCTCAGAGAGAGAAACTCTTGTCTAAATTAGAGGCATTTTCACTATGTCCTTCGCTACAAGTGAAAAACCTGGGTGTTATTTTTGACTCTGAGCTTGGTTTTATCCCACATGTTAAACATGTAACCAAAATTGGATTTTATCATCTAAAAAATATAGCCAGAGTCCGCCCTATTCTCTCTCGGGCCAACACGGAGATGCTGATGCATGCTTTTATTACCAGTCGCATTGATTACTGTAATGCCCTGCTCTCTGGTCTTCCTAAGAAGAATATTTCAACTTTACAACTCTTGCAAAACTCGGCAGCTCGTGTGCTGACGAAGACCAGAGGGCGGGCCCACATTACACCGGTTTTAGAATCGCTGCACTGGCTCCCCGTGTGTTTCAGGATCGATTTTAAAGTTCTTTTATTGGTTTTTAAATGTCTTAATGGTCTTGGGCCTTCTTATCTCTCAGATCTGCTTTTACCATACGAACCCTCGCGGACCCTGAGGTCCTCTGGTCTGGCCTTTTGATTGTCCCTAAAGTCAGGACACATACTCACGGAGAGGCAGCTTTTCAGTGGTATGGTCCTCGTCTGTGGAACAGCCTGCCGGAGGAGCTCAGGGCCGCAGAGAACGTACATGTTTTTAAGAACAGGCTCAAGACCCACCTTTTTAATTTAGCTTTTACTTAGCGTTTATTTATTTTATGCTTATTTATTCTATCCTGTTATTCTATTATTAATTTAGGATTTACCTAATATTTCTTGATTTTATTCTTATTCATTTTTTAATCTTCTTACTCTATTTATATTTATATTTATATTGTATCCTGTTCTTATTTATTTTATCATTTTACCCTGTATATATCTATTGGTCATATCTCCAGTGTTTCCTCGGAGGGCGCTCTCTGCACCGGGGCTGTTATTGACCGTGGCTGCTGGGTCTCTGGGGTCCTCTCAGCCTGGTGGGGGGCTCCTTTGCCTCCCTCCGCTGTGTGCCCAGCCCGGAGGCTGCGGTCTGTGACCGGCTCCCGGTGCAGACGGCTCCCTGTTATAGTGTTTCCTCACTTGGCTCATGCGAGCCCAGCCCAATTTTTACTCTTTAAGTGTGCGCGTGTGTGTATGTGTGTGTGGGTGGGGTGGGGGGATATATGTGTATTGAGAGTGTGGGGAGTGAGTGGGGGGGGTGGGCTGCTTTTAACTATGTAAAGCACTTTGTGCTACATTTTTTCTGTATGAAAAGTGCTTTATAAATAAAGATTATCATAAACTCAAAAACCCTGGGTCGACGGCCCAGGCATCCTAACACAATCCTTCTGGATTTCCACTTTTTTATGATGTGCAAATTAAAATATCCCTTACAAGTAGATTCCAACCCTAACCCGAGTCATTCATGTCCTGAGGAGATGAAAGCGGATGGTTAGGCAGCTGCAGCCTGCACGCTGAATTACTGAATAACAAAGAATGCATGGAGGAAGCGGGCAGATCATTGCAGCAGCAGCCATCAGACGGGTGCTGTTTAAAAAAAAAAGTCATTTATCCAGACAGTACGAGACAAAACAAAATCACCCGATCAGACACCACACAGACGTTTTCCTACAGCACTCTCCATCTTCTGCGTCTCAAGACAAACGACACAAGGTGACGAACCCTTTGAAAACACGGACGTCGCAACAGCTTTCATCATTCACTGCTTTTGGCATCTCCATTAAAAGCTCGGGCACGTCCGTCCTCGGTTTAACCAGAGGACAGAATTTAAACAGAACAGATGCAGTCTGTTTAAATTTCATGCCGACATCTCATGTCTTGTGAAATCCAATTTTACTGCAGCAGACATTATAAGATCGATGTAAACGATAAATCGTTTGCAGGTTTCAGATTTCGTAAAATCGTGTTGACATAAAAATTCAAAGGTAATAAAGTATTACAGCGTGTCAGCATTAGCGTGTACGAAGGTGACTTTAGTGTTTAACCTAAGAAGAATTTGCAGCTGAACCTTTACAGCACTATAATGTGTGCATCGTACACACTCACAGGCCATTTTGTTAGGTACACCTGTTCACATGCAAGATGTGGCTGCTTAGCACCAAGCAGACCAAACCAACCTCCTGAACACAGTTTAGATATTTCACTGTTGTTAGAGACCAAAACAGCGTGAATATTGGACCAACGATGTAATGCCTACTAACATGACACAGAATCAAGGGTGTCAAACATAAGGCCCGGGGACCAAAGACAATGCCGCCCACTGGATGGCTTTGGGAAACGTGAAAGCGTGCATCAGAGGTTAAACAATTAAATGACAGAAACGTTCCCGTTTCCAGTAATGCAGAACTTTGCAGTGGGGGGTGTTGGAGGTTATTTTTTGGGTGGGTGGGGTTTAGAATGGGTCCACAGTTTAAGTATTTAAGGCTTTGTTGCTGGTTTTCCAGGAACGTCTTCAAATATAGTTCATGCTGCCCCTGTGTAGCCACAACAAAGCCCACTAGTGAATCGTGCAGAACCGTCCGTCTGATCTTTGGCTTGGATTTCATCCTCAGTGAAAGCAAAATACTGATCTGAGATAAATCCAGATCCATGTCTTTGACAGCCAAGATAGCAGAAGGCTTTTCCTCCTGAGAAACAGAACAACCACTCTGTCTGTTGGACATCTTCAGTGGATCAAACCAGCCTGCCTGTCAGCACCAGGACACACAAATCCACACTGTGCAGTAATCTGAAGTCTCTACAAGGCCAGATGAGAGATCAGGCGCGCTGGTGCCACATGGTTCCTTGAGATCCACTAGCGTCTCCATCATTCAGCTCAACATCAAAGAAGCCAGCGCCTTGCTTTTGAATTATTGGCAGCAAGTGTGCAGTCATGCCTTCGGTGGCATCCGGCTCCCAGCCCGATTAACCCCTGTGCCACGCCAAGGAGGAAAAGCAGAGGATACGGCCCACAGCAAGGCAAGATAAATTACAGTGCCAACAACTGCACATCAGCAACGGCGCTAAAGGTCACGCGTTTGTCATCAGCACATTTGACGGCTCAATCAGCTGCAGCTTCAGTCCAAGGCAAGTAAAAGGCAAGGCCGAGCAGGTTTAACCTCGGCCACATTATCTGTATAATGTCATGATACAGAGATGAACCCACCTCCAACCACCTGTCTTCCCTTATCCATCTCGTATCCATGTTTCCCTCCACACAGACATGCACAGGGTTATAGCGGTGGCCGTCCGTGCACGCCGTCCTTTTTCTGCTTATAACATTCGGGGGTCGTGTTGTGCTGAAGCCTGTTCCTGCTGCCACAGGCTGACAGGACAGCCAGTTTACACAAATGTAATTTAGCAGCTGATTAAAATGCGTCTCATGTCAGAGGTTTTTGTCCAAGATCAGTTTATCGGAGCGTCCCTCTACATCAGTCCTAGTTTCTCGTGCGGCCCTTGGGGAAATGAATTGCCCACGCCTGCTCTAAAGGAAATAAAGCCGTTTACAAGGAACACAAAGGCTTCAGTGCTCTTTGTAAAGACAGTCTTCTTACTTGGGATTACATTTCCCCCCCCCCCATCTATGGATTAATGCAGCTCTACCATTTATTCTTTCGCCTGTTTGTGCATTACCTCTCTTTCCCATTTCCCCCCTTAACTAAATGCCTGGAAAAATTCCAGCACATCATCAGCAGACGGACAAAAGATAATTCAGTCCAGCCTGTGAGATGACACATGGGATTCATTCTGAGGCAATGAAGATGAACGCTGGCGTTGTGTGCAGAAGGTAAGGGCAGTGAACAGAGAAAAGGAAAACAAAGGAACACTGATAACATTACATATGCTGACGCAGAACACGGCTATTCTGTTAACTGATACTGGCAAAAGACAAAAGAGGAAGTAGTCTATTGATTGCCACATAAAGATCAAGACCACACGAGACAACAGAGGCAAATGTTTCCAACATGGACAAAAAATAATATGCTGATACGATGACACAAAGATAGCACAAAGACATAAAGGTTGGCACAGAAAAGCTACGGGGAAAAAGTGAGATAGCAAGCAGCTGTTACAGCCAGCTGTCCTGACCAGTTGCTCTTAAGGGTGGGAGGCCAGGATGGAGGGATTCAGAGACATTAAGGAAAGACGGGGGGATATAAGAAGCAGACTGAGATGCTGATGGCTGACAGGGAAAGAGGAAAGTGGAAAACGCTCAGAAAGAAAGGATAAGAGTGTTCACCTAGAAGCAAGATTTTGGAGCAGGAAAAACTTGGAAAACTCTTCTGTGACTTTTTAAATGGCAAAAAGAAGAGAAAGCTGTTTTGTAAAATCCAACAGAACTGATCAATAAGCTCCGCCCACTTCAAATCCAGATATCTTCTGTAAGCGTCACAGAAACACAACAAACACAAAACCAAAGAAAGTGTTGTTTACAGCCTTCAATCTCAGCAGGACATCACACACAAACCTTACAGAGGAATAACAAGCTGAAGAGTGACCCCTAGTGGCATTTTCTCCACCGTGCAAGACGACAATTCAAATACATGCAAGTTAGTCACGTGATGTGTGAATCCTTAAAATTAGAGCCCGTGTGTGTGTTCTTTGAATATTGGACTGTTCAGTGGTATGTGTAGGTACTTACTGTAACCTCTCAGGATGAGCACTCTGTGTGTTTCCTTTGCTTTCCTGATCACAAAGAGACGAGCTCACCTAACGGAGAGAAACATTGACAACCTGATTAAAAGAAGAGTACAGAGCATCCACAACTCTTTACTTCAAAGAAACCACATTCCCGTAGAGTAACTTTGCACGACTCGCAGTTCAAATAAGTTATTGTAGATTAATAATAATCTACAAGCTGGGCCTCGGTAATAGCCAATTAGTTCATCCACTGTCTGCAAAAATGCTGCAAAACTGACTGAACAGGGCTGTAAAGAGCAAATGGGCCAAAGCATCCTGCAAAGGCAAGCCAAGCGTTTCTCAAGGCAAACAGTCGCATTGATTACTGTAATGCCCTGCTCTCTGGTCTTCCTAAGAAGAATATTTCAACTTTACAACTTTTGCAAAACTCGGCAGCTCGTGTGCTGACG